ACCCCAAAACCCCAAAACCCCGCTAACTGAATTAAGCACAAATAAAGAATATTAGAATTCAATTACATCTATTTCGGATTTAGATTAAGTAACTAAAACTCAACTAATTAAGAGCAATCTCAAATAAGACACTACAATACTAAAATTGGTATATTATGACTAACTTAAATATTAAGATGCAGCTGACTGCATTAATTTGTCAGCATTTTATAAGATAGTTGATAAAGTATTCAAGCTAAAGAATTCTTAATAATCTCATCTCAGTTACTTTATAGATCCCTAGCTAGACTTCAACTTAATTGAGAATGATAGAGATTTCTAAATAATTGCTACTAAAGTTAGCAGGATATTAAAACTCAAATATGTGGTTGTAACAATAATCAAAATTTCAGACCTGGTTTGTTTTTAGAATCACTAATTCATGCAATTATTTGTCAGAAATCTAATTGACTGTCAGTACTAGTGCTAACAGTAAGAAGAGTAAAAGCACTGAAAGAATTTGAAACGCAAGGCATTTATGACTGAGGAAGAGCAAAATCTTGACTTAGAAAAAAAGGAGGAACTGCAGACTATGATAGTCAGAGGCAATTATAGGTATAGACCAGATATTGTGCACAAAAGTATAAGATACTACAAGTGCGAGGAATTCAAGACTCAGAGTTGCCGAGGAGTGTGGAGGATTAATGGATACTAAGGACAAACAGATGAGATAGGCTACTTGCATATACAGCATAGTGTTATTCTTGAGCATCATACATTCTATAAGCAACACATAGCCATAGATTAATGTCTGGATATTTCACTATACAACCAAGCCTATGTCGAATCACCCTTAGCAGTGTCACTCCTTCCCTCTAAAAGACCTGTACTTAATGAAGAGACGCTATTCCTTCTCAATATCTTTAAAGATGCTTATCGAAAATATCAAACTCAACCAAATATAGTTCTTGCAAACATAAACACGATGGATATGCTGCGAGAGATATCTAAGAACCATATCTTTGCAGAGTTGCTGCAAAAATACTCTCATCTAAATTAGTGGCTGCTAGTAGAGGCAAGACATCAGTTAACTAAAGAGGTGAAGAAAGGCTTCTAGCCAGCATGTGCCTTTGTCGATGTTTCGCATATCAAGACTATGAAACATTTATAATTTGGCAGAGACGTCACAGAGGCCTTGATCTTCGGCTAGTCTAAGTTTTTGACTTTTTTCGCATCAGAATGGTAAATCAATATGCTCAAGACAAAGATAGATTTAAAACTGCCTCAAGTTATTCTAGTTGATACATTTTGCAAACTCAAATCAGTGCCTTTGACTCAAAGGCAGTTTGACTGGGAATGTGTTATAAATCTGCAGTTCTTAGACTACTAAACCTACAAATTCTACACACTCTTGCATTGCATATCTCAGTCAGAAAAATCAGAGACAATACCCTAGGTGCTTGACTGGTGTAAGAAGGAATTCGGAGAGCATGTTTTCAATCCTACACTTTTAATTATTGATGGGGATATTAATACTTTCGATAATATTCATGCCAACTATAGCAAGCACGTCAATATATATGTTCCCTTTTTCGGCTATGCCTTTTAAGTGTTACACGAGTTAAAGATTAGATCTGTGTAACTGAGGACATCAATGATCAGAGTGATGATGTTTTATTTCAAGTTGCTGCCTTTCGTTGATGCGTAAACAGTTAAAAATAGATATGCTGATATTAAGAGGATATTTTAAACTGAAATAAACAGTGATTTCTGGTCTGAATACGAAAGAAACTTTTTAAAAGATGACAATCACATCTAAAAATGGACATTAGTTAAGTGCGAGGACTCAAAACTCTTGTACTCTATTAATAAATACTAAGAGAAGAACTTGATGTTGATTGATGAATAGATAATGCCATCTGGGGCATTCTAGGATAATCTCGGTTAGTTGATTGAAGGCATTCAAAAACTAGAGCAACTCCAAAAAGATGAATTTGATCAAGGAGAAAGAATAATGAGGTGGTATCCTTAACTTACATTCTTGATGCGCATAAGAGAGAACCCTGATATCATCAAACGAGGATTTGAGATTTTAATTACTCAGACTAACAAACTGAAATATGGATGTGATAACAAGGATGGCAGCTTTGTCAGTAGTGATACATTTGTAGAGTACTTCTTTTAGAAGTTTGAA